CAGCCTGGTTTGAGAGATAAGGAGACTGGAGCTCAGAAATACTCGTGTTTGGTTATCAACTCCTGATGCCGGGGTGGGGAGCAGGCAGTTGCTGGAGTTCAAATCCAAGACTGTTGAACTTGGGAGCCCGCGTTCTTCCCTCACCCATCCTTAAAGTAGCAACACCAGGCACTGTCACGTGGTCCTTTTAATTTGTTGAGTTTAACAGATCCTTTTGATTCATAAAGGGCCAGAGAGGTGACTCAGCAGATAAAGGCACTTGCTGGAAAGCCTGCCTTCCTGAGGTCAGCTCCTGGGACCCAGCAGAAGTCAGAGGAGCACTGACTCCAGATCCACAAAGGCTGTCTCTGACTCGCACGCAGCACACACACACACACACACACACACACACACACACACACACACACACACAAAACTAATAAAAAAACCATTAGCCAGGCGGTAGTAGCACACACCTTTAATCCCAGCACTGGAAGCAGAGGCAGGCGGATCTCTGTGAGTTTGAGACCAGCCTGGTCTACAGGAGCTAGTTCCAGGACAGGCACCAAAGCTACACCAAGAAACCCTGTCTCAAAAAAACAAACAAAACATTAAACTTTTGTTATATGGATTATAACTTTTGATATTTATTGTATATACACATTTAAAACCATGAAACTTAAAAACATATTTACCTGTCAAGCCATTTTAAAGGCCAATAATGAATCCATTATTGTGTGTTAGCATAAACAGCATTTTTATTGACTATAGCTGTCTCCCAAGACAGAAAACTAGGAGTGATGTCGTGTTTAGATGTTCTTGTGTCTGTGCTGCGAGTCCAGCTGGGCGTGAGGATCTGGCCTCATTCTCTTGCCTTCACTCTGCAGTGCTGTGTCCACTGGAGTGTATGAACAAAGTCTGCCTCACACTCAGCATTACACCCAAACTCCTTTTTGCTGAGTATGGGGTTTGTGTGTGTTGTATGTACCTGCTAGTGTATGTGTTTGTCTGTGTAGAGGCCAGAGGTAGACTTTGAGTCTCTTTCTTCAGTTTACATTTCGTTTTTTGAAACAGCCTCATGATCCTGAAGCTCATCAGTTCACCCAGACCAGGAAGCCAATGAGTGTCGGGGCCTGCCTGTCTCTGCTGCTCCAAACAGGCACTGCAGACACGTGCCACTGTGCTTGGCTTTTAACATGGGTTCTGGAGATCCACGTTCTGATCCCCATACTGGTGGGGTAGGCCCTTCATTGAC